GTATGTTTAGTCGGGTTAGCTTAGATCAGATTGTTAGTTTTTTAATTTGCCAAATGTCCATAAAAATGTGACCTGAGCAATGAGCATACCTGAGTCCTGAACCTGACTAACCTGACAGCTGACCTAACCTCAATCATCACACATATTTGCAGCCTACCCAAGACCTGCATGGCGATGGCAGTAGCACCCAGTTATAGGTAGGTACTCACCTTAACTCAATCTTACCTGCTAACCTTCAACTTGCCAAAAGTTAGCTCAAATTGCCAAGCTGTGTCCAGGGAAACAGTCAACTGAGGAACTGGCTCATTGGGTGGCTGGTGTGAGTCTGTGCATTTAAAGTGTTTCTTCTCTGAAGCTGCTCTGCACTGCTGTATGTCATGTTAGATGCTCAGAAAATGTGGGAAATGATTACTAAGATACTTTAGTGCTTTGTTAATGCTCGAGACATGAACAAGTACAGATCCAGATCCTGCAGGGTACAGCTATGAGTTAGGTGCTAGGTGAGTATGTTATGTGAATGTGCTGTTCCCTGTTTGACCGTAAGTATACAAACAAGCACAAGGTCACAGTTATATTCAATCTCCACATAAACGTACAACAAAAACGGCCATAGCCTAACTCCGAACACACCACAGATAACTTAAGCGTTTGAAGGCACAAAAATGTTTTGATTAACAGGACAGGTTTACAATATATCCTCTGTCCTTAGGGGATCTTGCTGCCAAGTTGAGGTATGATGACTGAACTTCAGGATTGATCAACCTTTTCTTAGCCACTGCTTATATACGAGAAAGACCAAATGCTTGTTTGTTTTGATTTACAGGCCATGTATACAATATATCCTCTGTCCTTGGGGGATCTTGCTGCCAAGTTGAGGTACGATGACTGAACTTCAGGATTGATCAACCTTTTCTTAGCCACTGCTTATAAACGAGAAAGACCAAATGCTTGTTTGTAAACTGCGTTGAAAATTTAATGATCCACCTTCAATTCTGACATGAAGGCACAAATGAAATAGCTCCCTCTCCTTTTGGAATACACAAAGCAAAATATTTAATAACTGTTTTAGTGGATTGACAAGAGCAATTAGCATATCCTTCCCTCAAATTAACTTCTGGCACTGTTGATGAATTGGACATGAATTACACTGACGCTTATTCGCTTCATATTTTGTAACAAACGCGATAAAACTGCAATATAACAGCACTATATGCTTCTTGACAAAATGCAATAGCATTAAAAATTTAGCCCTGATGGCATTCATTCTTGGTGGAAACGTAATTACAAAATATTTTGTAGTAACTATTAAATTTCGGCCGAAAACAGTGCACGGTTTAAAAAAGAATCATTCCAATGACGGTCCATTCTTGCGGTCCTGAAATCGCCACTATTTCCGGCCTCTCTAACGCAACTCGTTGTCCAGACGTAAATATGCTGAACGCCTTTGTCAGTGTATCGCACATAAATAGGAATATATGAAAGGATGAAATTTTCATGTCACCCGCCGCTTTTTCCATTGCTATAAGACGAAAAAGTATGTTCGCGTAATTACTTTCCACCCTGTATTAATTCGTATTCGATTCGGGCTACACTGAGGTAAAAAATTGTTAAAAACCAAATATTTCGGCTTTATTGAGTAGCCTTGTTCACTGGTTTGAAATATGAAATACAAAAAGACGATACAAATGTGATAACATGCAAAACAGGTTCGTGCTATCATTGATCTGTGACTTTCTTTTTTTACACTGTGCATAAAGCTAAGTGTAAAAAAAGGAAGTCACAGATCAATGATATCACGAACCTGTTTTGCATGTTATCACATTTATATCGTCTTTTTGTATTTCATATTTCAAATCAGTGAACAAGGCTACTCAATAAAGCCGAAATATTTGGTTTTTAACAATTTTTTTACCTCAGTGTAGCCCGAAACGAATACGAATTACTGTCATTTACCTGAGGAAGATTAGAAATGACACTTCGTCAAGGCCTCAAGGTAGTCAAGGTTGATCAGAGACAGCCATTCAGAGACTGGAGTTGGACTGGAGACAGTTTGTATTAGATCGTTACTATACAGTTTGTATCAAACATTTACTGTTTAGTCCACGGTGTGGCTAATGCCCGTGACCCATCCGTTTTGGAAATAGAGTCTGCGCTTCTGAAGAAGCTGAAGCGGCCCTTCAGTTTTGTCGGGAACCTAAGCTTAATGCTTATTCCGTCCTCGCGCCTAGCTCCGCCGCACGCCCAGTTCATGGAGTTCTGGGAAGTATGTGGACAAGTTCAACTGAATCCGGCAGCACCGAACTTCACCGGCAATGTAACAACAATCCATAAAACTTATAACAACAGGCCTAAGCAAAATCACAGTTGGAAAAGTGTGGAAAAGTGCTGTCACAACAGCACGGACTGGCACCAGTCGGGAGTGCAGGGGACATGACGTCGTTCGCCAGCCAGGACAGCGCTGGGCGGCCTAACATAAAAATGGTGAAAATGCGCCGTGCTCTGGGTGATGTACGCCATGGCCAAGGCCCTATATAGAAGGTATGCTCATTAGGCCGAAGCAGCGATTTCCGTGACGTCACAGGTACGAAGGGTCGGACGGCTGTAATGCAATCCTATGGAAAATGACCCAACTTTAGGGCTCTCCCACATAGCTGCCAGACTCGACACTAAGGTAAAAATTATATCACATAAAAGCTCGAATCAAGACGAACAAGAAACCTATCTGACGTTTTTACGTATTACTGACGGCTTAGACTCTATTCAAGTATATTCAGAGCTCTGCATTAGCTCACTTTTTCTGCTGTCAATGCCACTACAAATGCCTAGTCGGCGCACGTGCACTTGTCGAGCGGGGACCACCAGTCGGGCGATTCGGAGCTGCCGCCCAATCAGAACGCGGCAATGCCGTGACGTCATTGGTCGCACACGACACGTTACGGAGATAGGGATGAGACAGCCCTGCGCCATGGCAAAAAAAAAAAAACAGGCACATCCAGTGCCATCAGCATAGCAGCCGTCACTATTGCGCAGCAGGAGAAGGCGATAATCGACTGGCGCAGCTTCACCCTGACCCGTGAGTTGATGGTCGATCAGCTGCAGCAGGCACCGAGGATGGACGGTCCCGGGCAGATCGTCGAGATCGACGAGTCCCTGTTCCGTGGAAGGCGGAAGTACAAGAAAAGCCGCATGCTGCAGGAAGATGGCGTGCCTGGCCGGATGCCCAAAACCACGGGTAGAGGATCAAGGGCCCCTGGGTGTTCGGGCTTCTTCATCAAGCGACGGGAGAGCTCCGCTTGTTTGACGTCGAAAAGCGAGACGCACCCCTCCCCCTCCTTACCCTCCCCGATTTTGTAATATTTCGTTTGACTTTCACACCTTGTTCACGCTCTATATTATGACTTATAAGTTGTCTGAACGATCTCCATCCATCCGCCATGCCTCATGTGTCTTATGGCGCCTGAAGCGAAGTGAAATTTGGCATGCCGAATCTGTGGGTGTAAGGGGTCTTGGTATTAACCCGGCACCGCCTGGGCTATTTCCGTACCCACATCAGCCTGGGGGGGGGGGGGTCGGATCCGACCCCCCCCCCTGTTATCTCGAGAACCAATGGTCGTATCGAGCCGCGCGAGGCGGCGTTCGAAAGGTCTCTACGAGACCTTCCCAAAGCACTCTTAAGATTTTAAGATTGAGGTCAACTTTCGGGTCAAGGTCAGGTCAAAGGTCAAATTCAGGGGTTTTGCATGATTACGCTTACGGACAGCGGAATCGATAGCTGCTGCTCGAAACTCACCACAAATGACCTCAAAGACATAGTGAAGGTACCATGTGCGTATAGGGGTCATACTAAGTACAGGTCAAGGTCAGGTCAGGTCACGAAAGGTCACGGTTTTCACTTTCTGCTACATGGGCGTGCGACTCATGTTTTATGGCTTATTTTTCACGCCAAATCCGATGGTAATGGTTATATGTGACCCCACGTCACTGTGCTGGTGATAAGTGTGCATTGAAAGCATAAAAAATCGTTTATACCATACATAACTAAACGAGGGCTAAGAAAAAAAGTCAATTTTCAACTTTTTATTTTTGACATAAAAATGCACTCTTCTAGACGAGCTTTGTCCCAGGAATCTAGTGGTGCCATTTGTTTTCGCATGCGATGTTCAGAAGTGCCTCTAATTCGCGAAAATGCTTATGACGTCACCATCCCCTATGCATGTTGGAGCTATTTTTTACAATTTGGGGGTCAAAAATCAAGATAGAAAGTTGAAATTTGGGACATCTAATGTTCTAATAGAGCTCTATAACATATATTCCGTTTTTTTTTAAATTCTCAAAATTTTGGATTTTATTAGCTGTTTTCCCAAAAAATAGTTTTTTAAATTTTTGGGGGTGAAAAACGCATTTTATGGAAAATCCGAGATAGCCATTTTTAAGAACTCGTTGAGCTGCGTCTTTTCATGTCTTTAATTTGCAATTTGCTTAAAACCTCGATTTTTGGCGATTTTTTAAACATTTACCATTTTTTGACTGAAAACGCCTTGTAGTTACATCACTAAAATCGATATATCTCAGAAATTTTTGAAATTTTTTTCTTAAAAATTGCACAGGAGACGTCAAATTGATGGGGGAGAAGGTATGCGAAGTTTCAAGTTGATAGCGCAAGCGGTTCATGAGTTATTCAAGAAAAACGGAGGGGGGGTCGGATCCGACCCCCCCCCCCCCCCAGGCGGTCGCGGGTTAAAACTTGGGGGTGATCAGCCCAGGGGTGTGCCGTCAGCACGTGCAAAAGGGCGCTCTCATAGGCTGAACACGGGGCCGGCAAAAATCGCGAACGGGCGAAAACGAGCCGACATGCATCGCTTTCCGGGCTTAGATCTCGGCAACGGCGGAACGCCTCAACACCACCGGCACCGTATCTCCACCTCCCCCAACTTCCGGAAACGGGGGGGTCAGGGAGGTGGATAGTCCACACGTACCGACTGGCAGGGGCAGGAGCGTACCTTTGGTGTGCAGGGCAGTCCGGCTGCCTCTCACTCCCCGCGCTACGAAAGTCGTGTCCGCTGATCGGCCGTCTTTTCCCGATAAGCTCGGCGATTGTTGGTGGTGTCGGGGTTGACCTCCATGTTAGCTCGCGCCGCGGGCAGGGCCATCCAAGGCCGCTCACGCAAACGCCCCAGGCCTCTAGCGCCCACTGTCCCCTACAGTGGACCCCTACAGTTGAGCACAGATCATTCGCTGCCTGCGAACCAATCACTCCAAAGAAGGCCGGCTCTATCACACGCGTCAAAATCCACAGCACAATATCATTCCCCACCACACACAGACACGCCGCACCCCAGCCTCCGAACGCGACTGCCGCGCTGCAAATGGTGGTAGTTCGCAAAGAGGCGCACAGATGGCACTACTGTAGAGGTCTTTCCCTGCCGTCGTCCCTTGCGCCGCGCCGAGCGGCACTGTCCGGGACTCCGGGGGCGGGGCATGAGTCGACCGGTGTCGCGAGTGGCGGAGGGGGAGGGGAGGGGGCTGGAGGGGAACCCCAGGCGCGTAACAGATGGCGGCGCGAGGAGGAAAAGTAGAAACAACTTGACGTCTGATTCTTGTGTGATAAGTGATCGTTGGTTACCTCTGTCATGCTAGTTAGATGTCGGTAATGAACATTCTCATCATGCCGACTACCGACAAAACTGAACATGACATCTTGCATGGGTGCGGATTTGTATACCTTTGGGGATGGTACAGCACCCATGCTCAAATGAGCACCCCAATGGTATTCCGGGCACCCTCAAATGTTCCAGATAGCAGCCCCGGTGATTTTGTCACGAGCACCAGCCCGCGCCGGGCTGGTGCTCGTAAGATTCCGCGCCGGGCCGGGGGGGGGGTTGCTGAACACCCCCCCCCTTCTAACTCGGCCCCTGGGCTACGTAGCGACACGCGGTAAGCGGCAATCCGAAAGAACGTCCAAAATAAGGAGGAAAACACTTCGGTCATTTTTGGGTCAGGTCAAAGGTCAGGTCACCAGAGGTCACCAAAGGTAAAATGTTGACTATTTCAACATTTTGGAAACTGCCAATGGCTTCCTCAAGAACCGATAGAGCTACAGCGCCGCGGAAAAGCGAATTCGATAGCCCTTTTACAGACCTTTCTGAGTAATGTTCTCAAATTTGACCTCAGGTCAACGGTTTAGCCTCCAGAGGGCAAAAACTCCCAAAATAGCCGTATTTACGAAAAACGTTTTGTCGGCAATAACTCATGACTCAACAGAGCCATGACATTACTTTTGCCAGCATCGTGTTCCTCCCGTCGAGACGCGTCGAATGAACAATAATTTGACCTTGAAAGGTCAACTTGAAAATTTGACCTCAGGTCAAGGTCATGACCTGACCGGAAAAGGTCATGTTGCATATCAGTCGATCCACAACGTCGAGCCGAACACATCTAAGGCGTTTTCAGCGCTCTAGCACGCCTCTATCAGAAGTTATTAGCGAAAAACTGTTAGATTCTGTTCGTGACCTGAGATGACCTCGGGGACATAACGAGGGGTCACAGTTGCCATTTTCTGGTTCAGTGTGTCAATTTTATCTACATCTCGATGTTTAAGAGTGTCTAGAATAGCGTTCGTTCAAAACAGACGCTTTTCAATTTTCTCCCATTGACTTAAAATGGAGAGGCCGCAAAATTGCCCTGACCTTAGGTCACCGATATCAAAATTCCGAGATATACATCTTATAGATAGTGCTGCTCTAGTCAATCGCTGAAAATTCCAAGGCAATCGTTCAGTCGATGTAGCTATGACGAGCAATCTTATTTTTTCTGAGGTGAGGTCACTTGGCGTGACCTGGTGACCTGACCTAAGGTGACCTGGGTCTGAAATTTTCACATGTGCGGAAACGATGCACGAACAGGTTTGACAAAAACGGCGGCGCGGAGCGCCACCGTTTTTGAGACATCTGCGAAAAACCGCTAGGGGGGGGGGTGTTCAAACACCCCCCTGGCCCGGGGCGGGTTAATAACTCCCAGCAATTCTGCTCAAGGACATCATCGTTCCGTCATTTCCATCGTCAGGACACTAATCCTTCTCCATCTCCACGCCTCAAACCCGGACTGGACAGGCAAATGTATCCCATGCGGAAAAGTGCCCGTAAGAACAAGCCCGTAGCCGGGTGCAGTGAGTGGTTGGGGGCATGTCGGCCTGTTCTCTGGAGGGGCTCAGCCCCGGCGCTGCTCGCACAGACCAATGTCTCCCCCTAATTCCTATCATCCTTCCGGCCCTGAAATGGTCTCGTCAGACCGAAAGGGCCTAACCCAACAAAATAGAACAAAACTGATTGAGGAAAATAATCATTTCCGCTGTCTTTCACTAATATCAATAAAGCCATGACGCGACTGATGCATGAAATAACGATTCAAGAAAGGAAAAGTTAGTTATAAGGACAAATGCTTACAAAACGCCCCCCCCCCCCACCTCCGAAAGCGGGGGAGGGCGTGTCCCCCCCCCCTGTTCCCACACCTTTAGTGGATATAAGGCGGGCTAAAATTGATATCATCTGTTTCACAGCCTGCTAAGTAAATTGTAAGAACGAGGCACTGTATAGTTACGCCCTACAGGGGGATTTTCATACACAAACGCGTTCTGGTATTTCAAGATCACGCGCGGTTACGTGACATTGATGTACGTAAACGGCGTTTATTGCTGAAGTTATGAATGACCCACTCCATTTTTTTTCCAGATAGTAAGAACACTAGGGTTACCCGCATGCTCCGCAACGCGAAGAAGGGTTATTTTTGACCCGTGGGTATTGGGTTGTTCTGTGTCGATTTGGCATCCATTCCGTTCGATTGCTTTTTGACGGCCAAACATTTTGTAGTGAAACAAAAAAGATCCATCGCATCGAGGTGCCCGTGTCGTATTATCATGCGTTACTTGATTCGAAAACTGACGTGAAGTCTTTTGAGGGCCATCGATGAATTCCGGTAAAAATGACAATGTAATGGTTTGGAACATTTACATTTTTAAGAATACTGTTGATCATCATGCAAAAATGAAGGCTGAGCCTTGAACAGAATTGAATGCTCTTTCCAACGGTGCCATTTTTAATTGCCAGAGATATCAGATCATTGAGCAAAACCCGTGTGATTAATAAAGTGGCACATCATCGACAAACACCATTTTCTCTAGCGATTTGTACCACCTTGGCGTCGATCAATTAGCTATTCACAATTTTTATATGAGAGGCGGTACCTTTCTCTTGCAAATAGGCGTTGATTCAACAACTCGCTCCATTTAACGGTCACCTAAAAATAAAATTGATTCCAAAATCCCTCAAAAACCGCAATTTTTCAAATAAAAGTGCCCTCTCCGGTGCACGTGGCGCGTGCTTTCCTCTGCATTGCACACCATTCAATAGCCCCTTCAATTCTGTACACGATGCTGTTTTCCACGTGCCGGTCGGACCCTTGGTCACCAAGATATTGCACGGGAACTGGACCAGTGTCGGCCAAAATTAGCCGTTTTCGCCCGATTTCGCACGCCGATTTATATATGTAAAGTCTATGACGCGAATTTGCACTTTTTGAGCACGCGCCACGCGCTCCCTATCAATCCGATCGAGAAAAGACCCCTCAAAGGCACGTCGCGCATCCTTGATCTATAAGTTGTGCAAATTTCACCGGGCTAGGTGCAACGGTCTGGCCTGTAGTCCACGCAAAGCACCACCAAGTTGGGACCTCGGTAACGGACAGACGCACCCTCCTCAAATAGTAATATAGACAAGCGGCTGCGCCACTTGCTTCGCGGCGTAGCCAGAAATGCGGCAGCAGCCAATTTGCTTTCGAATGGTGTTTGAGTTAAATTGATGTGTCGTCTGGAAGCAGAGATATGGACGGAAACGTGCAGAGGAAAATTTTGAACATAATAAGTATTCTGAGGGCTTAGTTGGATGAAATTTGGGTCATACAGGGTCAAGTCAGGTCAAGTTTGTCATCCCTGGTTACACTGGCTCCGGCCAGGTCACCTTCGGTCAGGCCAGGTCGTATAGGTCACCAAGTCACATTGGATCGGCCTGGGCCACACTTCTACTAATTCTACCCATACCACTACCTACCACTACCCCTACCACTACCCCTACCACTACCCCTACTACTACCCCTAACACTACCCCTACCACTATCACTGGGTCATATGAGGTCACAGACTATCAGATAAACTAATAAACTAAAAAAGAGTTCCTAACCCTGCTCCTACTCGTGTCATTCCATTACTCTTAATCGTATTTGGTAGAAATGGCGCCTTGTGACAAATGTGGCGCATTGCGACAAAAGTGGCGCATTTGTACCTGTCATTTTGTCATGCATCCTTCCACGAAATTGCACCCTTATCGGACCATATTTGACAAAGTTGTGCGATCAGCGACAAAAATGGCGCATGTGGGTAAATGTGGCGCATTACGGCAAACGCGGTACATTTGTGTGATCGTATTGAAACCTGTCTTTGTTTACCGATAATCAACACCACCATTCGCCTATGTTTATCAAAATAAATAACTTGCCAATCCGCAAATGAGAGGCACCCGCCGCCGATCGTCATGCATTTTATTGTCAAAGGCGATTGAACCCGGCTGCCGATGCCTTGAAGCAAGCTTGAGAGCCGAGCAAAATTTGGAGAAAAAGCTCCTTTTTCCAGCGCGTGTCACGTGCGAACCATCTACCCCCCGGGACTCGAAACACGCCACTGCACGTGCGCGTGACGTCATCAACACCCTGCGAAAATTTCAGCCTCATCGACCGCACCGTTTGGCCTGCGCACGGCGTCAAAGCACCCCTCTGCACGGTGCAAACAGACAGAGCTTCATTTCACAAATAGTATAGTAGACTACCTCTACCCCTACTACTACCCCTACCACTACCCCTACTACCACCCTAGTACTACCCCCTACTACTACTACTACTACTACTACCCCTACTACTACCCCTACCACTACCCTGCCACTACCCCTACTACTACCCGGGCCTACCCCTAGTACTACCACTACCCCTACCGCTACTCCTACCAATACTACTACCAGTACACTACCACCACTACCACTGGGTCATGTGAGGTCACAGACCATCAGATAAACTGATAAACTAAAAAAAGAGTTCCTAACCGTGCTCCTACTCGTGTAATTCCATTATTCTTAATCGTTTTTGGTGGAAATTGCGCCTTATGATAAATATGGCGCATTGCGGCAAACGCGGCGCATTTGTACCTGTCGTTTCAGCATGCATCCTGCCACCGAATTGCACCTTTATCGGACGATATTTGACAAAGTTGTGCGATTTGCGACAAAAATGGCACATCGTGACAAATGTGACGCATTGCGTCAAACGCAGTGC